GGGGTGGGGGGGGGTATTTCCTTAAAGGACCAGAGCTGGGGCGGACAGGGCAGCCATGGGGAGGGGATCTGGGGAAGCAGGGGAGGTTTGGGGGTTTGTGCAGAGTCCCCCACACAGCGTGGGCCAGTGGGAGGCAGCAGGGATTGCCCCACTGCCCGGCAGCACCTGGTGAGTCAGGGCTTTTTTTTTTTTTCAAAGTGCCCGGGGCAGGCAGGACAGCCATTGCCAGGGCTGGGAGAGCAGGTAAGGGATGGGCCTGGCCTGGGTGAATCACCGAATCAAATCACTGTCCCCCAGATCAGACGGATCCAAATTTGAAGCGAATACTAGCTGCTTCGTACAGGCCTACTAAACAAGTTTGTGTTCAGAGAAAGGCACATTCTTCCTTCCATGGAACACACCTTGGCTCAACTTGTAGGAAACAAAGTTTTCACAAATTTGGATGCTTGTGCAGGGTACTGGTAGATTCCTCTAGCTGTTGAATCATCCAAGCTAACAACTTTTATTACTCCATTTGAATGCTACTGGTTTAACTGGCTACCTTTTGGCATTTCAGCTTCTGAATTCTTTCAGTTTCAGATGTCACAGATATTGGATGACGTAGAAGGTGTTCTTTGGCATGCCGAATATATTTTGTTTTTTGGAACCACCAAGGCACAACATGATGCAAGAGTGGATGCAACACTCAGAAAACTCCAAGAAGCTGGAGTTATACTTAATAAAAAGTGCACCTTTACTACTTTGCAGCTTGTGATTGTGGGACACTGGATTACACCACATGGAAGCCAACCAGATCCATCAAAAGTTGCAGCCATCGAGGGGTTCCCAGAACCCAAGGATGTCCCAATATTACTCAGATTTTTAGGCACAGCCATATACTTGGGCCCTTTTGTGCCAAAGCTGACAACAATAACAAAGCCTTTAAGAGACCCCTTAAGTGCCAAGAACATATGGCTCTGGGGACTGCCACAGCATTTGGCCTTCAACAAGATCAAATCTATACTCAGTTCCTCCCTGATACTGGCCCAATATGATCCAACACAAAAAACTGGTATTGCAGCAGATGCTTTATCATATGGGCTGGGAGACGTGCTACAACGATGTTGGGAAGTGGGCCACTGGGCCCCGATTGCTTTTGTGTCAAGAGCACTTCCTCCACCTGAAACTTGATATGCACAAAAAGAAAAAGAAGCACTACATGGACATGTGAGTAACTCAGAACTTTCCTTGTGGGCCTGACTTTTACTTTACAAACTAATCACAAGCCTCTTATGTCTCTGTTAGGAGACAAACCACTCAATGAACTTCCACCAAGAATCAATACATTTTGCCTCACAATGCTGAAATTTACCTACAATATAATACACAACCAGGGAAAAGAGTTGCAAACAGCTGATACTCTTTATAGGGCACCATTACAGACTCCACTGTCTCCAGAAGAACTCTGCAATATCTGTGAGATATTGCTATTTATGTGGACCTTATTGCAGATGAAATACCCATATCTGCTTCACTACAAATGAGAATTCAGGAAGCTCAAGTAGCTGATTCCTCTTGCCAAAAGATAAAGAAGTACTGCTGAGAAGGACTGTGAACTGGCAAAGTACCAACAAGAAAGAATCAGACTCCATGTTGTCAGATAGTCCTGTTCCATAACAGAGTATTGATACCTTCAAAACTATGCCAGGAAATCCTAGAAAAAATTCATGATGGCCACCAGGACATTACAAAATGTCAAGCCAGGGCTCGCCAAACAGTTTGGTGCTGACATACAGAACTGGGTAGCCATTTGTAAGGTTTGCGCTCAAGACTGACCAGTCCATGTGAAGCTATATGCCTTATGACTGATTTACCAGATCATTCATGGTAGATGTTGGGGGCTGATTTATTCATCTAGAAGAGTTCTGCTTACCTCACTGCTTTTATTACTCCTATTACTCGGAGATGGTATAAATAAAGAACACCACAACAGAGAGAGTTATGAAGGCATTGTAGAGTATGCTTGCATGCCATGACATACTGTGACAGGGGGCCACCTCAGGGCTGGTTCTCATCATCGGCCCACCCACCTGTCTAGGGCATATTGCCTTGTCTTGCTGTTTTAAAATGGATATAAAAATATGGGAGGCTGCCCATTAAGTGTCCCAATGCCTATGGCATTATACCTCCGCTGTCAGTACCTCTGACCTCTGCTATACCATGTCCCATGTCTTGCAGATGGCATCCAAAATAACAAACTTCCCCGGCTCCCTTGCTGAGTCGTACCACTTGGCCTTGGGCCCAAATTCAGCCTCAGGCATCCGTAGACTTATCTTGGATCCGAAGACATCATCCGTAGACTTATCATGCCTCTTCACATGCCCCTTTACTGGGGCCTAAACTCTCACCCCCTCACTGGGCCCAGCTCACTCAACAAACTACTGAGGCCAGCCTATGTGCAGTCCTTCAGGCCCTGCTTGGACCCTACTCTGCATGCCCCTGCACAGCCCTTCAGGTCCACCTACGCAGATGCTACTTTACACCCACTCTGCACAATCCTTCAGGACACCCCTGAAAACCCTACTCTGTGCAGCCTAACTGTACACTCTACTGGGACCACTCCTCTGTCCCCTCGCTAGGGCCTCAGGGCCTTACACCCCTTGGGTCTCAGGCCTGATGATAATGCCTGGACCGAGTGTCCCTACTCTGGGGTCACCCACCAGGTTTTGAGGGCTGGGACTATAAGGTGCCCTATACTCACCTTTCACTAGGGAAGCAATTGGTGTGGCATTTCCTGGGCCACCCCACCACAGACAGCTCCACCACACCATCCTACCCTAGCAGGGTGTTGTTTTACATCATCCCCCCCAGACCAGGAACCTCTGGCTATCCTCACAGTTCCTGCCCTGTACCTCCAAGATGTTATGTGAGCATTGGCTCCAGCTGGGTGGTGTTCTTTTCCCAGTTGCTGGCAGCAAACTGCTGGCTCCCTTGCTCAGGCCTGCTCTTATTGCCAGCAGCTGAGCCCTCTTTCCCCAAACAGGTGGCCTCCTGATGGTCATGTGACCCCCGATTGGAAGTGCAACCACCTTCAGGCCGCTCTGCTGCTTGGTCTAAGCCCTTAAAGTGGCAGGCACCAAAGGTGCTCTGCCACACATACCTTCAGTTTTAAGAACTGATAATGGCCCACAATTTTCTAGAGCCACATTTAAGCAGTTTGCAGCCCAGTATGACTTTCAGCATGTCACCAGCAGTTCCCTGAAGTAATGGAGAAGTGATGAGGACTGTGAAGAATTTGCTTCAGAAGAATGAAGATCTCTATAAGGCACTTTTGATCGACCATTCAACACCACTGGAGTATGGGTGGAGTCCAGCTGAGTTGCTTACAAGTCATTAACTCTGTACAACCCTACCAAGAATAATAAATTACTTGGTTCCAAACTTGTTGATCCACAGGAATTTCATGAGAAAGACAAACAAATAAAGGACTGTCAGAGATGGAACTATAATACTAGGCATGTTTCAAGATGTGTACCTGCTTTTTCCCCGACAGGAGGGAGTTTGGATCCCAAATCCAGGATTCCAAGGCACCATCCAGGCTAAGGTAGTCCTGGTTCATCCAGATAGCCCTGGTTCATATTGCATGGAGATTCCTAGTAGTCTTCTCAGTAGGAATCAAGAACATCTCTGTCATATTCCATGTGTTTACCACACTAGGTCTGGATGTGCCTCCATTCCATTGAAGAGATTAGACCCATGAATTAGATTTACCAATGTTTTTGCTTTGATTAGGTTCCTGTTGTAACTAAGTGTGTATCAAGTTTTCCCCTGAAAAAGGGGGATGTAGTAGTAAGGGTTAACTCCCTTACTAAAGAGTGATGTCATCCATAGGAAGTGGTCAGTCAACCATTTTGGGTTCAGGGGCTAGCTGTTATAATAAAGGAGTCTCCCTGCCTCTTCCTAAGACCCCAAATAACACAGTAGTAGCTTATCCAGAAGAGTGTAAAAAGGACACATAGCTGCAACCTACATTTCAGAGAAGATAAGTACATGCTAGACATCATTCATTAAGGCATGTATTGCACAATAGAGGACACTGAATTAACTCCATGTAACAATGATTTACTGAACCCAAACACATTTGAATTACATATAAAAGATTTATGAGATTCCAAAAGCACCTAAAGCATTTCTTTAGAAACACCAATTTCTATACCTAAGAGCACAGAAACAATACTGCTAAGTATGTTTTACACATTATACCTTCCCCTCTCCCCTGCTTTCAAAATATGCTGATTTGAAACAGTTTTTCAGGAACATAGCAAATTCATAAATTTTTCAGTTTATCAACTTATCCATTTGCACCCTTCTCGGGCACTGGGCCCTTGGCCCCTGTCTGTCTTTACCCTTCTTGGGCACCAGGTCCCTCAGTCCTGCTCTGGGCTCTGCAGCCCCAAGCTCTGCCGTGCTCCAGGCTTAGCACTTGCTCAGCTACAATCAGGACCCGCCTGGCATGGGGTGGATTTGGGTAGGAGTGGTGTGGGATGCCCCACACAGAAGCATGATGTGGGCTGTCCTGGGTGGGGTTCAGCCCTATGAGAGCTGCAGGCCTGATGAGGGGGTCAGATGGGAGCTGTCCACCCTGTACCTGCACCTGCATCTGCACCACCCCACGCAGGTGAGATCTGCTGCATGTGCCTCATGTCTTCCTCTTCCCCACCCACCCCCAACCCCAGCTAGATCCCAGGACCTAGCATGCGGGCAGCCCCCTCACACCCACCCACCCACACACCCAAACTCTCACCGCCCCCACCACCTCACCATACACATACCCCCAGCACACAATATACAAGAGTAAGACTTTTTTGGAGCTATTATGCAATCACCTCTATATATACTACTAACAATTCCCCCCCATAAATCAGGAAAAAAATATATTTTGAAATTAAAAGATGTTACAGTAAACATTTGATTTTTAATATATGCTTTGTTTTTTATCTATAATTTGTTAAAATGATATCTTCTGAAAGATTTTGTGTGTGCGGCCCTCAGCAACTCACCAAAACTCATTAAGTGGCCTTCCAGCTGAAATATTTGCCCACCCCTGTAGTTGAAGACTGTTATTAAATCCCTTCTCAGTCTTTTTTTTTCCAGACTAAATAAACCTAGTTCCCTCAGCCTTTCCTCATAAGTCATGTGCCCCAGACTCCTAACCATTTTCGCTGCTTTCCACTAGACTCTCTCAAATTTGTCCACACTTCCTGTAGTGGGGGGCCCAAAACTGGGCACAGTACTCCAGATGTGGCCTTGCCAGTGCTGAACAGAGGGGAATAATCACTTTCCTTGATCTGCTGGCAATGCTCCTATTAATGCAGCCCATTATGCTATGAAGCTGCCAGGGGCAGGCTCAAGGCTGAGTAAGTGCTGAGCTTGGAGTAAGGCAGAATGTGGGGCTACAGAGCCCAGAGCAGGGTTGAGGGACCCGGTGCCCAAGAGGGGTGAAGATAGACAGGGGCCATGGGTCCAGCACCCAAGAGGGGTGCAGATGAGGGCTAGGGCCCAGCAGATGGGGGCCAGGGGCCCAGTGTCTGAACAGGTAAGATTAGAGTGGGTGCCTCAAAGCCAGGTCCAATATACTGGGCCCATACTAGAAGGCCCAGCTAAAAGAAAGTGACAGAGGCTGAGAAGGCCAAAGCCCCAACAGGAGAGATTGATGGTACAGCGACAACTGTGAGGCTTAGGGCGTGGGGTAGGGAAGGAATGGAGCTATGCAATTACCCCCTAAGGCTTATAGATGTCCTGGGGCATAGATGGGCTGAGAATGCAATGCAGCTCAGGGGCTAGGTCAGGACCAGCAGTGTGCAGGAGGGACTTGCTGGCTATTGGATGAAGCATGGCTCACTCTAGGACCCTCAAAGGAGCCTCCCGTTCCAGACAATAGGTATATCAAGGTGTGGTGGACGAGTAGGAGGTGAAGGTACCCTAGAGGCAGAGTGGGGTATGGGTTATGGAGTCAACAGGGGGCATCATAGCCACCCCTGGGACCCCAACATGCTATAGCCATTAACTTTGAAAACTTGTGGCGATGTGAAGAGGTCCCAGATGATTGGAAAAGGACAAATAACAATAGCCATCTTTAAGAAAGGAAAGAAGGATGTATCCAGGGAACTACAGACCAGTCAGGCTCACCTCAGTGCCTGGAAAAATCATGGACCAGGTCCGCAAGGAATACATTTCTAAGTTCTTGGAGGAGAAGGTGATTAGAAACAACCATGGATTCACCAAGAGCAAGTCATGCCGAACCAACTTGATTGCCTTCTATGATGTGATGACTGGCTCTATGGATGGATGTATACCAGTGGATGTGATATACCTTGACTTTAGCAAGGCTTTTGATATTGTCTCCCACAACATTCTCACAATCAAGCTAAGAAAGTATAGGTTGGATGTATAAACTGTAAGGTGGATAAAACACTGTCTGGATTGTTGGGCTTAAAAGGATAGCAATTAATGGCTCAGTGCCTAGATGGCAGCTGGTATCGGCTGGAGTGCTCCTAGGGCCAGTTTTATTCAATATCTTCATCAGAGTTCTGGAAGATAGAATGGAGTGCACCCTCAGCAAGTTTGCACATGACAATAACCTGGGCTGAGTAGTAGATAATGCTGGAGAGTAGGGCTAGGATTCAGAGAGACCTCAATAAGTTGGAGGATTGAAGAAATCCCATAAGATTTCTAGAAACTGAATACCTGAAGCTGGAGGTTGACAGAATTTTGCATGGTTTGGAGAAAAAGAACCAGAGATCAGAAGAAAGGCTGGAGATCTTATTGGTCCATGATTTTTTCATCTAAAATCATGGGATTAGATTTAGGGAAATGGAGTTGTGAAGGCGTTGCTAATAGTAGCAGCGGTGAGCTAATGCCCTGGATACATGGTTAGAAGAAAAAGGAATGTTGGAGGAAGGTATAGGCAATCAATCCAAATCCATAAAAGATTTCAAAATCACCTGGCAATACAACTGAAGTTGTAGAAGGCTGATTCAGCCCCTCAATACTTTTGTCTTCCTTTTTATGACTGGGGGGGAGTTCTGTTTTTGGCAAGGTACAGAGGTACTGTCAAGAAAACTTAAGCACAGCTTGAGGAGGCATATAGAGCAATTCTTCACCTTTACCATGGAAAGGTTCCTCTACAGGCCACCCCTTAACAGGGACCTTGGAGGAACATTGCACAAGTCAGGAGGCATGGGCTACATATTACCGCATGCACATCCTTTGATCCTATGAAAATGGTGCTGTGAAGAGAGGGAGGTAGATTAGAAGCCTAATTGTGACCAAAATATGGGTGTACATTAAAACTGCATTTACAAAATAATACTTGTTTTGGGATTATTTGTGTGTGCTGCCTTAGATTAGCCCAGTTGATTTTCAGCTATCCCAAACAGTTTCTAATCTATAAACTGAATTCACAGCATCATTTACTCTTATGCTCCTACTTGATCTGTTATGTTTATAATATTTGTAGCAGTAAAGTATGAAAAATAACTCCCTGATTACACATATATTGCGCTTTGTATTCTGTTGCTCAGTCCATTATTTGAATAACTATGGTGTGTGGTATCCAAGTGTTGAATTCTTTAACAGCAGCAATAAAAATACAGTTTTAAAGGAAAAAAAAGGCTTTGTGTAAAACGTGAATTTAACATGTAGCTAATAAACATTTTTCCTAGAAACACAATGCACTGTCATTTATTAAAATAGCTGAAACTACAATATTAGACACAGTAGCTGTGACACTACCTGGATGCTGTTTAGGAAATGTATACCATTGTTCTAGTTCCTTCCACTGAGGTACCTTATTTTATATACAATTCTTTAGAAATGATGACCAGTCTAAGAACAAAATGATTGGTGGCCTCCCAGTGATAGCCTGATCTGGAAACAGAATGACAGGTAACTTCCCAATTATTTCTTAAATAAAAATATATTAAAAGCAAATTTTGAATATATAATGAAAATGGTGAAAAAATAAAGTTACAAGAAAAAAAACAAACTGAAAATTTAGCTGAGCAGGGAGCAAAGTAAGAACATAAGAGAGCAGAAAGTACTGACCTGGAAGTCAAGCTGGTTGGAGCAGGGGTGAAAGCAGCAGTTTGAAGAATAACAGAAAGGAAGGGAGATAGCAAAAGAGAATAAAAAGGAGGGAAATTCATTAGTTTTTTTTTCCCCAACATATTGTTAGCAGATGTTATATCAGCAGTCTATTAAAAAGTAGTAGAATAAAACTTCTGTATAATATTTTTTTGATGAGCTCTGAACAAAACAAAAGTTTGAAATACAAGAAGTCACCTAGTCATTTACAGACTGTGGAAGACGATCTGTGTATTAGGGGTGTGCAAAGCTTCGGTCCCTGATTCAATTCGGCGGCAATTCAGCCCGATTTGGTGGCCAAATCTCCAAATCAGAATTGAATCAGAGGATCCTTTAATCTCTCTGAATCGAATTGGAACCCTCCAAATTGATTCAGAGAGATTTGAAAAGATTTGGCGTTTCAGACATAGACACAGCTTTAAATGTTTTTTCTCCATACCTCTAGGTAGCAGGCGGCTCATGAATGCTGTGATGCTGGGGTGGATGGAGAGTCCCACAGGAGCATGGGGGGCTCCCCAGCATGCTTGGCAGCAGACCTAGAAGCACGTGGGGGGGTACATCCCCCCGGCTTGGCGACTGGCGCCTTCTGCGTCTGGGGCCCCCCCACAGCTGATTGCCAAGCCGAAGGGGGTAAGGGGGAGCTGGAAGTGGACTAAAAGTACTTCTAATCCACTTCTGGATTTGCTGCCTAGCACATGGAGGGCCCCCCGCACTTCTGTGGGATGCTCCACCCGCCCCAGCATCGCAGCATTCACAAGCTGCGCTGGTACCTCAAGGAATGTAGACAAAACATTTAAAGCTGTGTTGGTGTCCGAATCGCTGATACTCTGAATCAACATTGAATCTTCAATTCGGATTCAGCCAAATCGAATCTGGGACAGTTATCTGAATCAACTAATCAAATCACTGTCCCTGATTCGGGCCGAATCCAAATCGAATAGGGCCCACTTCACACACCCCTACTATATATATGTGTATGCTAACTTCTTGTACATGCATGCAAATGCTAAGGCACTTGTTTGGCAGCAAGTACTAAGAAGCATGAATCTCTTATTTGAACTAGTATGGGTTTGATGACTCACATTCATCAAGTCTTCTTCACTCCTGAAAACCAAAAAGAAATGAACAGTTTGGCAACATGTTCAAAGCTGTTATGTTAGAGGTTCACAATATACAGTATCTAACAATGATGAAAGACACTGACTTTTTTCTCCTAGTCACTTCCAAAGCTGAGAGAAAGTTTTTTCTAGCCCTGAAAATAAGGTTAATACTTCATCATTGAAAATATCCAGACACTTGATAACTTATTTGTACAAAAATATCTAACATGTCCTTTCAATTAGCCAAGACAAAAAAAAAATCCTTTTCTTACGCCCAGCTAGAAAAGTTCCTCAAACTATCATAGGTGGATAATAATCATATACACTTATGACAGATACATTTAAACAACACCACAAAAATAGGCTTTTACAGCTATTTGGCATGCTGATTCCTGTCATTTCCTATACTGAATTATGTCAGTATGTATTGGCAGACAATGGCCATTTATTTAAATAGACATCACTTTTTCCTTCATCTGAACACACACAAAATCTACTATGAAATAAGAAAATTAAGACTAAAAACTGCAAAGCCAGGATACTTCAAATCAGGTTTTTATAATTCTGCATCTTAACAGTGCTATGCATGAAACACACCATGGCCAATGCAAACTGGATAGTTATGCACACTGGAAAAATACAATCATAGGCCAGGCTGTGACTGATTCATTCAAAACCTAGGGAAGGGGTAGTACTGTGCTATACTGTACCAAGGACTTTTTGTTTCAAAAAAGGACAAGTCTCCCTGAAAGAACCCAACTGCACTGTGGAGGATACAGCCTGTGACAACTGTTGAAGAGTGTAATGTCCTTGTACCTCCCGTGGCTGAGAGGTACATGCCTGTATAGGCAACTGCTCCTATGAAAACCAACAGTAGGAGACCAAGCCCACATTGCTGGCCATACATTCTGGCCCTCCTTTCTCCTTTCTCTCTGCCAACTGAACATCCAAGTTAACTGACCTCGGTGATTTCTGATGAAAATACTCTGCCAGCGGATTACTGCAATGCTTCTACACCAGTGGTCTCCAACTTTTTTTTAAGTAAGAGATCACCTTTGGCATTTAAAAGCAACCCAAGATCTACCATGTACTGCCGCCAACCATCCGCCTCCCTTCCCTTGCCCTGCCTCTGTGGGGAGGGAATGGTGGGGTGCAGATGGAGGCAGAGGGAGAAAATATTATTTCAGGGTGTGCTTCATCAGCAAGTAAGTCCCACCCGGCCAGGGCCCCACTCAACTTACCCCTACTCCTAACTCTATGGCACTTTCCCTCATTGTGGGGCCTTGATCTAGCCCCTGCCCCTTCTCTCCCCCACAGACTGACCTGTTAGGCTGGGGTGTGCATGTGCATGCACACGGACACTCAGCCCTTCACCCCAGCCTTGGATCAACTCCAAGAGGCTCTGAGATCTACCAAAAGAGGCTCTGAGATCTACCAGTGGAGCAAGATCCACTGGTTGGTGACCACTGTTCTACACAGACTTAACCTATAATTAAAGTCAAACAAAAACAGTAACATCAAAATACCTTTAAAAAACTATTTAAAATTCTGAAGTGGTGTATATTTTACAAATGAACAAAATAACATATGCCTGGGAAATTTGTAATATCCTAAGGGCTCTACTAAGTGGCTTGACTCAGTTCAACACAAGTGATTGACTGGCATTTTTTTTTCCATTCCTGGAATAAATCCAGACTTTTGTGATCTGCACTGCAATTTGCTTTCACATCCTTACTCTATCACCCCCACGTCAGTTCACTCTTTAACCAACAACAAACAGGAATGATTCAAGTATATGCCCACAAGCAATGCATATAACTTGACAAAATTGTGGCTTAGTCCTTAATTTATCTGTTAAAAATCATCTGGTGCCTAATCTGTTTCAGTTTCTCCCAGGGGTGGTCCTCCAAACTGCTCTTGGAACTTGAAAACCCATTGTCTCCTAAACTGAGTTCTTGTGCATGGCAGCTGGGCAGAACTGAGGCATATGCTGTACAAGACTGCTTTGGATAATTCATAAAAGGGGGTGTCCAAGGAGAAGCTTATTTCAGAAAAGAACGTGATTATCATTGAGCGATAATACCAGGTAGTAGCTCATAGATTTGGAAGATGAGTTCTGACAGCATATGAAAGAGAGAAATTAATCAGCTCCATTTCTCTTATGGAATTTTTCTCAAATACACTATTCCCTAGCATGTAATTTATCATCCTGTAAAGTCCAAAGGGCCCTTTAAACAAATGGAGTCCAGAGATTGTGCAGGGAACTTTGTTTACAATACCCAGACCCTGAGTCATTCATAAGCAGGGACAGCCTCACTCTGCAGCTTTCCAGCTCCACCATCTACATGCACGCACACACAGATTCCTTTTTAACTACTCTTAATTTAGTCCACAGTGCACAACATGGGTAACAGAATAAATAGCGGTATCACTTATATTCTGGAAGCACTCGGTCTCAGCACTCATTTCCTAATGACCCTCTCAAGATGTTCACTTTGAAGCACACTGAAGTATTCATCATAAAATTAACTACGGTAAGGTTATTCTGGGAATGAGATATTACAAGCTATAAAAGGATATGTTGCTTTTGTCAGGAACACAGTACTAGACAGGACTGCATGGGACACTGAGTCCACTTCCCTGATACCTCAGCAAGCACATCATATAATTGTTCTCATAATTTTTCCAAGATCCATCTTAAAGCAAGCTTGTTTTCTTACACCCTCTACTCCTCTCAGAAGGCTGTTCTAGAACCTCACTGCCCTGACAGTCAAAAGCCGTCAATTTAATTTTTTTCAATTTCCAGCCCATTTCTTTTTGTGCCAATATGGTCCTTTAATTTAAATAGTTCTTCTCCTTCTGACAACTCAATGTATTTATTGAGAGAAATTTTAGCCCGACTCAGCCATTATTTTGCTCAGTTAAAACAACCAAATTATTTTAATCTCCTGTTCTTTATTACTGTGAACACAATGTAGTCCTTCTCCTCACCTGTTTCCAGAATAAATATATCTGATCAGAAATGTACACAGTATTCCAGATGAAGTATAACCAGTGCCCCGATAAATGGTATTAATACCTTCCTCTCTCTACTGGAAATACATCAACTGATACCTCCTAGAATTGTATTTGCCTTTTTCACAGCCATATCACTTTGAAGTCAACGAATATCCACAATCATCATCCCTCTGATGAGCCCAAGATTACAGCAGAAATTATTATTAGTCTCTTAGTGAATAATCCGGATTGTTGCACAATTACATTTAATCCCATTAAGGTTATTCCATTCCTGAAAATCATCCAATTCTTCCCACTTGATATTCCAACTCTTCTTTATGTTAATGATGCTTCCCATCATCAGCAATTTTCATTTACACACACTTATTTTTGTGCCAAGATAATTAATGAAAACATTAAATAAGATCACTCTTAATACCAATCCTTGAGGAACTCCACAAGTTACCTACCTCCCTGCAGTCTGTGGCTAAGTACATGCCTCCCTACTTGGCTGAAGCAGACAGCTTGGGCCAAGACTAGCCCTCCCACCCTGCAAGGTGGGGTTTGCAAGAGAGGTGCCAAGATTCCTGGGATGCTGGGGGACTGGGAGTTCATTTGAATCTGGAGGGATTCTGGGACAGAAGTTCAATAAACTGATTTAACCTAAATCAGTTAAGTCGGATAATACATCCATCCAGCAGTCATGGGAATTAACTAGTTAATTAACTAGTTAAAAAGTTAAAGAAACGGTTCACTTTTAACTTGAACTAGTTACATTTTTCAGCTGTCAACTTTTAACTTTAACTAGTTAAAAAAAAAGGTTAACTTTAACTTTTTTTTAAAGTGTAAGTTAAAAGTTAAAAAAAATTGAAATATGGCTTTCCCAGAGTTTTTCCTGACAGAGCCACTCTCTAGGACTTACATGGAGCAATATTTCTTTATTGAACTCTAGGCCTTCTTGTTTGAGAGACAGAGTAGTGTGCCTTCCTATGAGATATGGTCTCTTAAGGACTACAAGTCCCAGAGTTCCTTAGTTCATGCTGGCATTTTCTGTGCATTTGCAGAAGTCAACAGGGCAGCCAGTTGGCTGCAGGAGAGAGAACAAGAACAAGCAAACAGAGACATTGATCCCAGAAAGAGTGCGAGCAAGTAGTGAGGGTGAAGCAGATGATGACTTCTTTAAATTTTAATGAAGATCAGAAACAGCAGCCCAGGGCCCAAGTTGAGCATTACTTCTCATCTGTGAGAAACTTATCTGAGATGTCACCTACTATGAAAAAACTATTCTGTACTATGAAGTTTCATAGTATGAAGTTTCACCCTTGGACACAGGTGTCACGGTGGACATAGTCTTTCTGGACTTTAGGAAGGCCTTCGACACCGTCTCTCACCCCATTCTCATCAAAAAATTAAGCGACTGTGGCGTTGATGCCTACAGTCAGATGGGTCACAAATTGGCTGGAAAGCCGCACCCAGAGAGTGGTGGTGGATGGGTCACTCTCAACCTGGAGCGATGTGGGCAGTGGGGTTCCCCAGGACTCAGTCCTCAGGCCCGCACTGTTCAACATCTTCATCAGCGACTTGGACTAGGGGGTGAAAAGCACCTTGTTCACGTTCGCAGATGACACTAAGACATGGGGAGAAGCGGACACATTAGAAGGGAGGAACAGGCTACAACTAGATCTGGACAGGTTACAGGGTTTGGTGGATGAGAACAGAATGGGTTTCAATACTGACAAGTGCAAGGTACTGCACCTGGGGAGGAAGAACCAGCAGCATACCTACAGGCTGGGGAACTCACTTCTCGTCAGCACAGAGGCAGAAAAGGATCTTGGAGTCATTATTGATTCCAAAATGAACATGGGCCGCCAATGTGAGGATGCGGTCAGTAAGGCCAACCACACCTTGTCATGAATCCACAGATGCATCACGAGCAGGTCCAAGGAGGTGATCCTCCTCCTGTATGCAATATTTGTCAGGCCGCAGTTGGAGTACTGCGTCCAGTTT